ACTTTTTGCCAACTCTATAGTGGGACTCTTTTAGACGGTTTCGGGTCGTACCGCTGTGGAGGAGCCCAGCACCTGCGTGACTCGTCTTCATAAACCGAGAAAAAGCTCAGGCTACAATGTTTTTCCGCAAGACACATGCAGTTCTGTTTATTGACGACTAGAGCGCCAACAGTTACAGACTGCAACTTTAAAGAAGTCAGAAGTTCACATGTTCTCCATGTTTCCATTCAGTTCTGAATATAAAAACACTGTTTTTGTTGTGACATTGTCTAAGTGAACTATGTTAATATATCAAGTCATTCTTAGTCGAAACAACATGGAACTTCAACAGGAAAGACAAAAGAACAACAGTCACAATTTGACTATAAATGTAATGGGGAAAAGAGCAGGTTCCCATTTAAAGTCGGCATGAAACAGAAGTTGCGATAGCCTTTTGTTCCCTGTCGTGACGTATAGCTTCTGGAACAAGAACAAATGTAGGGGCGGGGCTTGATTTTGTCCGTGGGGAGTTGATTGGATGGTTTTGGTTTGCTATTTGTGGATCTCATGTGAGTGACAGGTTATTGTCCCGCCCTCGTCGTCAGAGAAGAGAAGGGGAGGGGAAGTTGTTCTGATTCAAGATTACGAGACATGAATTAAGGCGAGACACGGCAGGCAAAAACATCGGGTTTTTTTTTTCACTGGTCAATTTTGAGATTTTGGGCTATTTGTCTTCAATAACATGTCTTCTTTCAGACTTGTGGTGAAACAATTTCCAAAATACACATTTAGGTCTTTATTTTACTAGACTTTGTCTGTTTGCGTCTGTAGATTTCTCCTAAATTCAACGAAAAGTTGTCGTTCTATCAGCTGCTCTGCGATCGCGATCTGCACCCTGTCATCACACACACCGCTGGAAAGCTCTCTCTCCTTTACAATGTTGTCGGATCCAAATATGGTCATTTCCTTTTTATCAGCCACCAATCGTGAAAGTACAATGGGCATTTAACTCTAAAACCGAAATCTCATTGGCTGATGTCAATTTCTGACAACGTGATTCGTTCAGATGCATCACGTGACGTGCTCTGACATTTAGATGTGTGTTTTTGACACTTTTTCTGTTCAGTTGAAGGCCATAAATGCTGTGTTATAAGTAGTAATGTGATTTAGATGGTTTGTATTGTTGTTGCTAATGATTTGATAAGATATTGTGTCTGTAAATAGTTGTTTCCACTAAAAAAAATCAATAGAAATCTTTAAATGCTGTTTTCTCAAAATGAGTTTTTTGTCATTCTCCAGTAGAAATATCTCAGCCTGTGTAACACCAAACTTTCCAGTTATACACTTAGCAGTATTCTGAAGATGTTTTCAGAGGGATTTGTTTATAAATCATTCCTGGCCTGATTTATGTGACATTTTAATAAAAAAAAATATATGGCGAGAATCGATTTTTTTAAGGCTATGGACAGTGTATTTTGATTTCCTAGGTAATGAAAGCATATATCCTGAAATCCCTCTGAAATTATTTTTTCATCTTGTGTGTAAACAAAATGAAAAAATAATTTTGCACCTGGCTTTATCATATGTTCAGATCTATCTACCGAAAATATATGCAAAATTATGCGTATTTAATGAGATAATGCCTATTTTGCATAATTAAACATACAAATTTCAAAAACTTGTAATACATTTTTATATACTTGTGTAAATAATCAACTGAGAAAGTTTCATGGTGATATCTATTATTTAAAATGTTTACCCTATTCACCTGTAGTGTCTCGCCTTAAAGAAAAATGGATAAATAATTTATAATAATGAATAACTGCAATATTCCATAAAAAAAAAAAAAAAAAAAAACAGAATTGTTCATTTTGATTTCATGGTGACTTGTACCATTTAAAAGTGGTGTTTGTTCTTCCAAACATGGATAATAGGATCAATTGAAACTGAACACTACACACTAAAGGCACATATAATAGGACCCCTTTAAGTTTGTTCTACTGTACACATTTCCCGATAGTTGATGAGGCTAAACGGTGATTGGTATTTCTGGATCAATTAATAATTCATTATTTCACCCTTTCCTTTTTACCTTCTCTCCATCACAGCATTATCATGGTGTGTGTTTGCATGTGCATCATCCACCCACACACTTTGTTTACTCCACGATCCATTCAAAAAGCAGTTGTATGCGTCTCAGTTCTTCCTTTGAGTTCAAACTTTGCCCAAACAAACCCTGGGCCTCGTGTCACACCCTTCAACACCTCATCTGTCATGGTTTTACATGGCATCACTCCCGCACGGATTGTGCCGGCACACGCTTGAATTCAATATGCTATCTCACATGTCTGCTTAATGTTATTTCGGGAGCCAGTAGTAACCTCCTTCAGTTGGCAGTGTTATATCAATGAATTGCTGCTGCGTAAAGAGGGACAGAAAGTGGGTGAAGTCGAGCAGGTTCTGCGTGTGGCTCTACTGTAGTGGATAAACCTGATAAACCCGAGCGCTTTATTCAATCTAAATAGTGGGCCCCTCTGAGCCCCCGTGTTCGTACCACACACTACCCCTCCATCAATCACTGATAATGGGCCCCGGCCATCTCTCTCTGTGATGTTTGCGTTATTGCATTGGATTCTAACGAGCCATCGCTGCTAATCAGCCCACTGGATGAAGGAGGCGGATGGATTTGTTTCTGTGTGATCATTTCAATGAAACATAGTCCTGCATGCCTACATGACTCTAGGGGCCCGAAGCTGCAATTACACATATAATCACAATTGAATTTCAGTGGAGGCTCCATTATCCATCCTGCCAGCCAAACTGGAATTAAGTGTAGATGAAGTGAAAGTGTTTAGCTTTCTACTGCGGATAGTGCTGTGCTATCAGCTCCAGCTCCTAATACATCAAGAAATGCACAGACGGGCGACACTAAATAAATCTGGTGGATCTTATGACCCGTTCACACCAGGAAGGATTACAATAAGGATAACTATGTTAGCATCTACGCCAACGGATGATGATCGCGTTCTGTTTCTTTTAAGCCTGCACTGCGGTTTCGTTGTCTGCAGCTTTAGCAATATGAGAGATTTTCACGTGAGATAAAATGGCATATCGCTGGCAGTCCCATATATAAATAAAATATAAAATATTTACAGATAAAAGGTGATTTCACCCTTCGCAGGGAGTTTGATTGACCGACCAATCATAATCCGCCTTCCGCCATTTTGTCCGACAAAGCAGTCAGGAGAGTCAGTAGCAGTGTTGCCAACTTAGCGCCTTTGTCGATATTTTTAGCGACTTTTCAGACCCCTTTAGCGACATTTTTTCAAAAAAGCGACTAGCGACAATTTTAGCGACTTTTGGACAAACCTCAGTAACCTCCAAATGTTGCTAGTACTGTCCTGCGAGCGCGAGGTCTTGCTTTCTCCCTGCCGTCACTCTTTTCTTTTGTTTTATATTTAAAGAATTTAGTTTGACCATTTGAATTTTATTTCTTTTCTTGTGCTTATTACTTGTAACACTCACTATCACAGAGCTTAGTTCATCCGGTTCCCTAACTCTCTCAATTCAGATAATGTTCCACATAGGCCTATAAAAAATGTAATCATTCACTATATTATAGCTACCCGTTCAATTGTCTGAAAACAAAAAAATAGGAAATGAGAACAGCTTTATTTGACATTCGGCTATATTAGGTTATATTGAATAGAGCATTAATTTAGAGAGAAAACGCACTAGGCTGACAGAACGCAAGTACGACGCGATGACGTCATTAATATGCTAATTGACGTATGACGTCATCTAGCGACATTTAGCGACTTTTAGGAAAGGCCTTAGCTACTTTCCTTTGAAAATAGTTGGCAACACTGGTCAGTAGATTAAAGTTGGTGGATTTGAACTTGAGACACGGTGAGTGCTGGCGTCTTCCCGCGGTTGAAACCGCATTCCTTCTGATGTTCATTCATGTTGATTTGATGCTGTAAGTTAACTAGAAGGAAGAGATGATCGGTTCACGAGCAGCTTTAACTGAGGCTACAGCGATCTGTCAGACTCGTTAAACAGCCACAAAACGGTATTTTTTGTTTGCATTTCTTTTAAAAAGGGCCAAATTTGAAAGTTGAGACTTTGTTTTATATCAAAAGTAACCGGGTCTGTCCTGTCTGTTAGCCCGTTGTCAGTGTCCTCTCTGTATTTCTATATTTCACTGCGTGAGAACATGATGTGTGGCGTGAGAGTGAACTTCAAGCAAGGCTTGTTCGCAAAAGGTCTTCGCGAACGGTCAGTTGAGCTTGGAGAAGGCTACACACCTGAATCGTGGAGCACTAGAGTGTGGAAGAAAAAATAAAATATGAAAACAAAATCTTCTAATATTAACAGTCATACTGAGCTCATTTGTTTAAATGGTTGTGTTGTCAAGCAGTGGTCAAACAATCATATTATCCAGCTGATTTGGTCTAAACATGGCAAATTTGCTTCTCATAATGACTATGGTTACCCTCCCCTCTCCTTTTACTTCAAAGTTGAAACTCATAGAAGGTAATGCTATGAGGGACTCAATTTTGCATGACTCCTCTCATCAGCGAGTGAAACAGCAATAAAGGCAAATTGCTCCTGGGAGACATGAACGCTTTAGAATAAATTACGTGCGGGAACAGAGGTGTAATTAATTTACAGGCTGTATTGATAGTCCCCCTTCACTGCTCACTATATGTCTTCATCTCAGCTAACGTCTTCATTATTTGGAGGGCAGGAGAGAAGCGAGTCAACAGACTAAATGAATTGCCATAAGACTATGTACACAAACTGTTTCCACAGCGTAAGGATTTCTCTCAGGCTTTTAATTAGCATGCTGAAAAATTATTTAATAAGTGTGTGCTTAAGACTTAAAGATGCGCAGGCAGGGAGAAGTGTACATTTGCAGAGAGAGACATTATAGTGTAAAGGGCTTCTTAATTAGATATTAAATGGGCTGTTTATAACTTATAACTAATGTTGCAATGTTCTCTTTTGTTTTATTTCAGCCAAAACTGATGAAGTGCTGAAAGCAAAGGAAAATATTAAAGAAGAAAAGACAATAAAGGAGGAAGGTGAGCCTAACTTAAAAAAAAAATGTTAAACTCAAACTAAGGTAAGAGATGATGTGTTGCACGACAAGCTTTTAAATCAATACAATGCATTCATATGCACACTTTCTTGCATTATGTAAAGGTGCGGTCATATTTACCATTGTTTATGGGCGAAATCCACTCATTTCAGTAGGAATCTATGCAATTATTAATTTCACCTGAGGGCGAAAGATATCAGATGTATCACAATGGCAAAAAGGTCCATTGTCTATTATCAGGTGTATAGTGATGTACAGTGTGAAGCACTTTCAAGCGCTTTCTGTTTTGGTCAATACAAATTTCGCCTCAGAGCTAGATTCCCAATCACATGGACTCCTATAGAGATGACTGAGCTACGGTAGTTTGACGGACAACTGTAAGTGTGAGCGTACCTTTATTAGTGTTAAACTGTGTGATTGACTGTTTTACCACCAGGCCACATATTTCCTATAGCTAGTTTCCCGTCTCTTGCGTCACTCCATGCTCTCTTTCTTCCCACATAATAAAATAACGCCTACTGAAATCAGTTTCAAACATTTAAATCTAATTTTAATTATTGGATTGTGTCTGATATTTCCCCCACCCCACTTAGCATTTGACAAAAAAAATTGCATCATACTCTTCTTGCCTGAATACTTCTGGAAACAATTTTCTCTGTAACTTTCACATCACTTTTAGTGTGAATGGGCTTTATGCTTATGACGGTCATATTCCTATGAAAGTCTGTCAACATTTGACATATGCTGCTCATGAAGCAATGAAGTAAAACAATGGGGACCGTTTGCATGATATCAACGTCAGCAATATCAAACATACTGAAAGGTGTATTGTTATGCTTTCTTACATGGACTCTCACACTCAGTTCATTAGAAATAGAAAATAATGGTTTAAAAAAAGCATATCAGTCATCTCCCGACTCTCTCACTTCCAGTTAATTCTGCATTGATCCCTGTTTCCATTACTGGATCCAGATTCCAGCGCTGGTAAATTGCACATGCGTGGCTCCAGGCTACAGTGTGTGGCTCGCAGTCGAGTGGTTTTCTTAAGCAGAGTTCACGCTGTAATCTCACCCTTTGGAATCAATTGACTTCTCCCCCCTCCCAAAACACTTTCATTTCTCTCTTAAACTTATGAAGCAACGCATTCTTCCTGCCTAGCGCTGGAAGGCTCTTAACACCACCTCCAACCCCGCGTTTGTAATGTACAAAAATAGTCACAATTACGGTCTTTTGAACGTGTCTTTTGCTGCCGACACTCAATCCCTGTCCGCATGATCTGGAGGTGACATCGTGAGCGCAGGGCAGGTTTTGGTCTGGCTTTAATCTCCATTCTTCAGGATGAACAGGGTCTGCGCACTCTTCCCTCAGGGGCTCGCCAACTTCACTCCACCGCTACAATCCAGATGAGCTGTGGAAATCAACCAAGAGGAAAACACAGCAGATTACATCAAAACACACTCACACTCATGCTAATCGTTTTAGAGGGGATTTCACACAACATGCTTCCTACTAAAGCCCATCTACTTTTTAAAATCAAATGATAAAAGTAGAGATGCACCGATACTAAATTTCTCCGCCGATACCGATATCCGGTTATTCTGAATGATATTGGCCGATACCGATTGTTGGGTTTTTCTTAAGGAAAAAACTCTCCGAAATACCGTATATACCCGAATATAAGACGACCCTAAAAATAAGACGACACCCCCAATCTCCAGACTTATTTTTGGGGAAAAATTGATTTTTGTGGAAAAAATCTGGTTTTCAACAGAAAATAATTTTAAGAGCAAATTTCCGAGGCGTTGTTCCAAATGCCTCGCATCACCTGTGCCTCGTGTAGAGGCCCGCTCGTCGGCGGAGACCGGCACATATGCGCTTCCTGATTGGCCATGACTGCGGCTGCCCTGAGTGCAACGGGATGGATTTCATAGACATAATAAATACATAGACGCCCTATTGGCCGCTGCAGCGTACGTCAACGGCGCCGCCATGTTGGGGATGGCAACTCTCCCATACCTCTCATACCGGGAATTGAGAAAAATGCCTGTTTTGTACGCTGTTTGGGGCTGTACACATCGCCACACAATTAAAAACAGCTTTCGAGGAATTACCTTTCACAAGCAAGACTGAACGTTTGTTTTTGGTTGTATTTGGTCATGATTTAATTAGTAATAGTAACGTTCAGAGGATACATTTAAAAATACTACTGTTATTGTGTCACGAAATGTAGTTTTAATAGTTTTTCAGTCGACAATGTAGTTGTTTAAAGCTCAAATCTGTGGTTTGTTTATAAAGATAGCGCCTATTTAAAAATTTGATCTGACGTTTTCGGAGTTGTGTGATCCATGCGTTCACCGGCCTCTCAGCGCTCGTCTACCCCGCCTGGAACAGCCGTCCCTCGGCCAGTGCTTCTGAAGTTTTGCCGCTGACTCGGATGTCTGTAGTCTAACGTAGTGGTTAAACATGAGATATAATTCGTCTTGTGTATATCTAACGGGCGATCTTTGGTCTCATTCATCTATAAATGGTTCCCTGGTAAATCGTTTTGCCTGAGGGCAAAGTGAATTTCATAACTTTATATTTAGGCTATTTTAACGTTGTATCCTGCTGTATGTTTGACTGAAGCTACTTCTCTTATAATAGCTATTACTGATCAATAAAACTGAAATTTAACAAAAAGAGTTAAATATTAAAATTTCACTATTTAACTTTTTTTTTATTGTATTCTGTAATTGATATTTCTTATTCTATTGCTATTATTATAGTATTATTAATAAACTAAATGCTATTATCAATATTTTTATGATTGTATTATTGTACTTATGATATTATATAATTATACTAATCATTACTATTTTATTTGCTGTATACTATGTTTATTTTATTGACTAAACTATTTACTATTACTTCTCACTTTGTTATATTTACTATTTGCATTGCACTATAGTTGTACCGTAACATATGTATTATCATAAAGGATCCATCAGTTATCTTTGTTATTGCTAAAATCTGGTCAATCACAAAAAATGCTTTTTCCACAATAAGAAAACTTAAATTATATCTCAGTACGGGGGTCTTCACCATTCTTATCCAAGAATAAAAAGCCAAATACATGACAAGCCTGAGCTTTGACCAATCTTTATTAAAAAAAACATATTTTACAAGTCTAACTATCGAGATTTTAAATAACTAGAGATGGAACTTTTTGTACACCACATACAAACCACTGAAATCGGTTGATAAATGTAAAAACAGTTTGTTTTTATCCAGAAAAAACGCAGCTCCCCCGTTTACTTACATTTGTTCACAGTGCAGTCTTGCCCTCCGCAAAATGGCGGACCCGTTGACGTATCGCAGCAACGCTCAAAAGCGGCCAATAGGGCGTCTATGTATTTATTATGTCTATGATGGATTTAACCACCCTGCGGGGTCGTCTGGCCGTTTTCGACGACGATCCGGCTCCCGCTCTCTCTCTCTCTCTCTCCCTCTGCTCGACCCGCGCAAGAAAAAGCGCGGTTTACAGAAGATGCCAGAGCGGACGGAGACAAGCGAGCTGACCCTGAATATAAGACCACCCCCCATTTTTCAGCCTATTTTTAGGACTAAAACCACGTCTTATATTCGGGTATATACAGTAATGCTGCAAACTATACAGGGAACCCTCTCATTTGGTACAATATTATAATATTAGAGGTTAAAATTAACAACAGAGCTATTATATTCAACTGCTATTATTTCCAGATATAATATTTACTCTCAAATAAAAGCTGAAATGTTTGTGTGGGCGTACAACTCACTTGCACACAAGGTAGTTTTCATAAACACTTTTTCGTGGCAAATTTATTCAAACATACGTATATAATTAACAGTAAATAATCTCTTCTCTAATGTTTTTATAGCTAACTAACGAACTGTGAACTTTCCTGAGATAAACGTTTAGTGATATTGTTCACAAGCTGTTTCATTGACGGTTGAAACACTGATTGAGTGATTACATGAGACATGATATGGATTTCGGTAAGTTGTTCTGTATCTTTCAACATACCTTCTGATGTTCATGCATGTTTTTCTAGATTTGATTTGTTTTAAAGTGGAAGAAAAGGCTCCGAGCTGCCAGCGCTACAGCGATCTGTCACGTCACATTTAAGAGCGTCAAAACGCCATTTATTGTTTGAATTTCATGATAAAATGTACACAATTTGAAAGCCGAGACTTTTGTTTCTTATCAGAAGTAACAGAGCACAAAGCTTTTGTGATTATTGGATAGGAGGCGCTACAAATAATGTTTGATTACCGTAGATCTGGCAACCCTGGCTTGAACTACGGGTGGTTCATAGGGTCATAAAGCCTGCATTAACGTCGCTATTTTTTAACTGTTAATGCGTTATTGTTGCATTACCTTGCCCTAAATTCAACACAAGAGAGATTTTCTTCACACACAGTATGAGTTGCAGTCTGGCACGTTTATCCTCCGCACCCTTTTGATTGACAGGATATAACCGGCCCTGATCATCGGCTGTTTTTAAACAATAGCGATTATTGGCCGATAGGTGCATCTCTACATAAAAGGTTTTTATATGGAAACTCTTAAAAATATAGATTCATTATTGGCATCGCTGGTTCATTTTAGATCCTTTAACATCCATGGAACCTTTTCATGACACGAAAGGTTCTTCATAGTGGAAAAAGGTTCTTTAGATTATTAAAATGTTCTTCACACTAAGAAAAAATGTTGTTCTTTTAAGAAATGTTAACAGAAAGGTTCTTTGGGGAACCCGAAATAGTTCTTCTATGGCATTGTGTAATTGACGTACATTTCTCTTTTTCTTTTCATATTGAAATCGGTGTCGAATCCCTCGCAGTCCATCACTGCTGGGCACTTCAGTCTATAACTGTTTTCTCTGACACAGACCTGCATTCTGTCCGTATCCATGCAGATCATATATTTTAATGAGCCGTATAACAGCGTTTAACCCGTATCAT